ATAGAAGCAGTAATAGAGGACAAGCTTCTCTGGTTCCAGTTCTAAGTGGGAATGCTTTCAGTTTTGCCCCATTCAGTATGATGTTGACTGTGGGTCTGTCATATATGGCTTTTATCATTTATAGGTAAGTCCTGTCTATGCGTATTTTGTTAAGCATTGTTGTCATAAAATGGTCTTGAATTTTGTTGAAAGCTTTTTCTGTGTCTATTAAGAGGATCATATGGTTTTTGCTTTTGCTTCTGTTTATGAGGTGAATTACATTTACATATTTGCATAGTTGAACCATCCCTGCATCTCTGGGATCAAGCCCACTTATTTGTGATGAATTATTTTTTTTTGAAAAGCACTTGAATTCAGTTTACTAATATTTTTTTAGAATTTTTACATCTATATTCATCAGGGATATTGGTCTGTAGTTTTCTTTCTTTGTTGTGTCCTTTCCTGGTTTTGGTATCAGGGTGATATTGGCTTCATAAAACATAAAAACAAAGGATTGTAAGAGGAGTTTAGTAGATATTTTGGCACACATCTGGTACTTATATTTTTATTAATGAGAAACTCAGTTATGTGGCTAGTTTTCTCTTCTGGTTGATATTTTACTGCATCTGTTACCAATTACAAGATGATTCTGGAGACCCCAGATGGAGAAAGTCATCTGAATGTTCCATATCCTGCATCCTGACACCTACCTTAGCATTTTCTAAACCTTGAGACCAACAAGGGGGGAGAGCTAGCAAACAGTGTGTAGGCTTAATTGAAAACACTATCCATGAATGCTGAGGTGAATTCTAGCACCTAGGAGCACGTCTGAAATCCTTGTTCTACTATACATGTGGGGACATTTTCAAATGAACACACATCTCCTTCTCATTAGTATAAAATGTTTTGCACAGAGGAAAGAATCAATTGACTGAAAAGAGAATCCATTTGGAAATCACATTTCTACACAACCATAAATAGGGTGGCTTACACCCTTCTTATAACACTTAAGGCTTAGTGTCCACTGGTTGGTGACAACATGTAGCCCTCTTTGTGCCCTCTTTGGTTCCACCGCCTTGGTTCCATGATTCCTTCCCTCTTTTCATCTACACAGGGATCAAGGGATGGGACTGCATCACTGAAATCACTTGCTCCCTTGGCCTATCTAAGGGTCCCCATCACACTCAGAAAGTCATTGAGCCCAACTCAGTGCCATGTGCTTCCTCAGGCCCAGCCAGAGACTACAACCAAGAAACAGAAGATTGTGTTCCCCTTATGTCTGAGATTGCTTGCTGCTTTGGTGTATAAACATAGGCCAAGACAAAAACATCAGAAAACTGTTCATTAAGGAGTATTGTTTGGCCATTTTCCATGTTCTTCAGACACTACAAGTTGGATTACTCCACAGCAATTGCCAGATGAGTTCTGACGTACTAGGACACGTCAGGATTGTCCCCTTCCAATCCAGCACTGGCAAGGATGTCTGGATCAGAGCTCCAACCTCATAGCTAAACTAAGACATTTGGGATCTGGCTAAGGGTTCAAGGCAACACAGAGGACAAAAGGACATTCCTAGGATGCTCCTGTCGGTGATTACCAAGGGACTCTGGGGATGGCACTTAGCTCCATGGGCTGGTGTTAGGGCTAATGAAGCTGTGGCCATGGGATTGATTTCTGCAGGGTAGCAGCCCTCCCCCAAATATGTCCTGCCACCCCTGCCCCGGCCTCCTGCCTACACACAGTCATGCCTGAAATCCATGTCACCTGCCATTGCAGACATTTTCCAGCTTCCTTATACCCTTGAGAGCTATGAGACATGACAGATGACAGAAGTCTGGGCAATTAGGACAGAAATCTCTTGGCCAGTGGGGCAGTGTGGGTTGCAGGGGAAATATTCTGTGAAAACTTTCACTTTCCTGAAAATCTGAAAACCCGCAGTCTCCCTGCCTGATCAGCCAACAAGGAGCTATCTGTGAGCACCAGAGGCAAGTTCCAAATGTGAAGTTCTCCAAGGGTGTGCCCAACACTGAATGCATATGCATGGGACAGGCTTCCTGAGCCTTGAGTGTGCAGGAGCAGCAAAGACAAGGGAAAATATGCAAAGATATTCCCTGACAAGTGCTGACAGGAGTGAGGGCAAGACGCTGAGGTCTAGATATGGAGGCTGTCATGGTCAGGCTTAGTGATGCCCAGAGGGGCATGAGAGGGCAAGTGGGCCTGGAGACTGGAAATCTGAGGGTCAATGGCCCAAGTCACACAGAGATAGAATCACAGCACAGCCCTTGCTGACTGGTGATTAAAGGACATAAGTCCTTGGTAAAGATTCTGCTAACAGGACAAAGCCCATGAGGAGGAATTTGTAGCAAATTAGCAAATGGATATGATGTGGAGAACAGGTTTGCCAGAACTGATGGGAAGCCCCCAGGAAATGGAGACTGTGCACCCCAAACACACCCGTCTCCAAGGACTGTGCTCAGCCTCAAGTCTCCTTCAGCTTCCTGGCCCCACACAGCCACCTGGACACCACCCTCAGCAGCTTCCCACAAAGCCACACAGCGCCCAGAGTGAGCCCCAGCAGGAACAGGAGGACATCCAGCAGGTACTGCTCATGCCAGGGCTGCTGGAAGGCATAGGGCTTGAGGTGCGCAGCGCCCCCTGTCTGCAGGATGTGGTCGATCCAGCCCACCAGCCGCTGGGCGGGGGTCAGGGGGTGGGAGCGTGTGATGACACTGGCGGCCACTGCTGCAGACTTGTACCTGTGGGCAGAGATGGAGTGGGGCCGTTACTGATGTGACCCCACAGCATTGAAACATGTGAGCCTTTTCTGTTTTATTCACTAAAGACTGTGTTTAAGGAAAATTTGTTGCCCTGACTGCAATAATCTAGCTGGGTCACTTTGAAAAGTTCAGGAATGATACCTAAATGTAAAAAATCCATGCTTAATTCTAAAAGTGCCAAACCATATAAAAGTGACTCAATCTCTAAGGGACAGTCCCTATTACAAGGAGCATTACGACATACCACAAGAAAATTATATGATATAATTAATTATTATATGTATGCAGGGAGCACCTACATTGTGCCAGTGCCTACAGTGCATGAAAAATGTCACTCTGGGGACTGCCAGGCCGAGGACAGTGACTACACCTTCCTGCACCAGTAAACGGTCAGGTTGGCCAGGGCTGAATTCCTGGACTGCTGTCTGCATATTTGCACCACAAGCGTAATCCTATCCAGTGCTTGATTGAAATCTCTGCTGTCACCGTCTTAAAATTCCTAAAATTTACAACAAGTAACCCTACATTTCCATTTTGTGCCAGGGCCCACACTTATGAATCTGGCCCTGGGGATGCACAATGTCTGCGGGAAAATCCCACCCCGGAATTACTAGTTCCCAGACAACAGGAAATCATGGCCATTTGGGGTGTAGGTCTTCAAAACTGCAAAAAACAAAAGCTACAAACCTGTTCTTCAGGAAATGAACATCCACAAAACATGACATTGCAAATATATACAATTCTTCTGCAGTTATCTGACACCTGGAACCTAACTGTTCTATGGCTAAGAAGCAGGAGCTGTGTGGTTGGTTAGTAGTCATCCAACTGGAAGTGCTTGAGTGTCTCCTATGTTCGAGGCAATAAGTTAAGCCTTGAAGATTATGCCCTTGAAACTTTAATTATTTATTTTCTCCTTCTGTGATATAAAAAAGAAAATGTACATTTCTATCTTCACATAAGGTCACTGTGCCGGATGAGCTGTTAGTTACCTGGAGGTCACTGGAGCCTTTCTATAGCTCAGCTGACAAAGACTCATTAGCCACTTACTTTGTGGCATACCCTTTGCTATGCACTGGGAACATAGTGGAAAACAAGAGAACATGCTTTTATATTCATGAAGACCAATATTCTTTTCTCTCTAGTGTGGGGGGACAGATAATAAATAAACCATAAACAAATGAGGTAACTACAGCCCCCAGGAAGGCTTAAGGAGGAAATGATATAGTTAGGTGGGAGGGAGAAGAGGCCAGCTAGATGGTCTAGGATGAAATATATGAACAAACGAGTTAGAGAACAGACTGAATGTCATGAATGGGGCCTTTCTGAGAAGAGCAGGGAGGGAGTGTTAGAGAGCAGCATGAACAGAAACCCAAGAGGAAAAGACTGTGGAGCATTTGAAGAACAGAAATGCAAGATCCTGCCTCAGCTGGAATTCCATAGAAAAATTGCAAACATAAGAGCTCTGACAAAGCCTCTATGTATGTGGTGTGGGTGACCCAAACACAAAAGGTAGAAAATTATTCTTGGCATGCAATTTAAATTGCTCTGATCTTGCTCTCAGGAGCAAGTGAGACAAGGACACAAGTGAGCTCTTAGCATCACACACACATTATCCCATGTCCCGGGAAGTACAGTTTGCATGGAAACACAGACTCACACAGTGCCCTTAGTGTTCATGCCTCACTCACCCGAAGGCAGCACACACTTGACGGCGGCATACCTCTCGTCTTCTATGACTTGTTCCATCTTAAGAGCCAATGTCTCTGCCTTCAGCTCCTTTAAATTAATAGAGACACCAAACTTTTTGGTTTCTACTCGGACCATGTTTTCTGGCTGGTCTCCAAAAACAGGGATGCCCACCATGGGCACCCCATGCTGGATGGCCTCCATGATGCTGTTCTGCCCGCCATGGGTGACGAACAGACGGATGCTGGGGTGAGCTGTTGCAAAGGAGAAAACAGTGCAACATTCAGGATGAAAAGTTTCAGAACACCAGGTGGAGCAGGGAGGGCATGAGAAAATGCCAAAGGAACCTATAGGTGTGTTAGAGCCATTGTGTAAAATGATACAGCTTGGGGCATATCCAAGAAAGCAGTTCCAAGGTGCTGAATTCCAATCCATGGCATATATAGAGCCTTTTCCAAGCCCAGGTAAGACTG